GTTTTGGCAAATTTCACAAAACCCACGAGTTTTTCTTTGTCAGATAAACCCCCTTTAAATTTATCCCTTTTTTTAAAATAATTCCCTCGTAAAACTTCATGAATGTCACTTAACCCCCTTTAATTTTAGTTTCCTCACATAACCCCCAACATTTTCCTGTTTTCCAACTAACGTAGCTCGATTTTGATTCTGGTATGGTGCCTGTCATGTTAACAAGGTTAGTTAAATGGGTCATCTGACAAAACCTTTTAGGTGATATTTATAAAGTTTAAAGGGTTATCTCAAAAACGGCCGAAACTATGACAAAGGAAAATATATATTATATCCAACAAAAAAATTCACCAGAAACAAACTGATTCATGCACAAGTATAGATTTAAGTTCTATTCACAATTTTTTTTTCTTTGAATATGAGAGAGTAGTTTACCTGTTACCAAGCAAAGCTTGGAGATGGATGATCATCCCTTCTTCATGAGGAGTGAAGTTCCCTCTCTTGATCCCCGGTCTGAGATAGTTCGTCCACCGCAATCTGCAACTCTTGTTACATCTCATCAATCCTGTGCTCAAGCAAAAAATTAAATAAATAAATAAATTCAGAATCCTGGACTGAATTTTGATTGATTTGTTCATCAAGCAAGATTATCGACACCATACCAGTTTTCGTCGGTACAGTTCTCCAGTTTCCAGGGCCATGTTCTTGAATATAGGAGACCAGAATGATGTCTTCCTCAGGTGTCCATGGCCCTTTCTTCATTCCAATCTTTTCACAGCAAGGAGACCTTCCCATTTTTTTTTTTTTTGCTTTCTTCTTTCTTTGATATTCTTGGTGCTTCATGAGATGTGAGTGCTTATATATATATAGGCCTTTAGAAAAATGGAGAGCTATTTTATCCCTCTTTTTTCACCTATCATCTAACTCCCTGACTCATTTACTCTTTTTTCTTTTATCGAAAGTCAGTTGAGCCTTCCTTACCTTTATCTGCGGTCGCATGAATCATCAAAATCTTGTTCTAAAGTAGAAAGCATCACAGTAATTGCTTTTAAACTGTACTGGTGTCATAAGGTCTCAGTTAACGCTTTGCTTGCTAGGATGGCTTGCCATGTAACTAATCCGTCTATAAGGGAGCTTTAAGTCTTAAAAAATAAAATCTCTCTCTGATCGGAGAAAGTATCCGGTGGAGCCAGTCCATAGCGTTAAATATGAACTCAAATGATGTCAACCCTTGAATCTATACACGAATCCCAAAATCTAATGATCCAATGCCTAACATTCATCTGGTATACATTTAATATCATGGATCCGACTGCACTTTATACGTTTACTACCATTTAATCTCTGATCTTTTCACTGTACGTTTAATGTACATTTATCCCATTAGAAATACTCATTTGCTTCAAAGGCTACATGTTTAAATGCATACAGTTTGCACCACATGAGCATCGATCTACAGTCTGGAGTGCGTTCACTGCAAACCATGACCGTACATGCATATGTTATGTTCATGCATTTCAGAAAGTTACATGGGCATATGATCATATACTCCTTATACTATTGCATTAAGATTCTTGGTAACTTTCATTGACTCTTTGTATCACCCTTTTTGTCATAATTTCTTCTAGTGTCCTTACATTGACAAATAAAAAGAAGGGTAAATTACACTAAACCCCCATAACCTTTCAGTTTTTTGTAGTGAACCCCCATAAACTTTCAAAATCACACTAAACCCCCCAACTTTTGTAGAACCCCCCCCCCCCCCCCCCCAAGTGAACTTTTAGGTAAATTACACTAAACCCCCATGAACTGTCAAATACCTCTTTATGTTGTTTTTTTGGTTCTAATGTATGGGGTTATCTACAAAACTCAGAAAGTTTATGGCGGTTTTCATACATTTCCAAAAAAATCATGGGGATTTAGTGTGATTTTGAAAGTTCACGGGGTTCACTACAAAACATTGAAAGTTGATAGGGGTTTAGTGTAATTCACCCTAAAAAAGAAAGACGATGAACAGTTTTTTCCTGCTATTGCACGAAATATGCATTCTTCCTTTATTAATACCTTTCTCATAACATCCTTAGCAAGTAAGTGACCTCTCACCTAATATATTCTCTTGTTTTCTCTCATTCTCATATTATTTTTTATTGCACGAAAAAAATTAAGGTATTAAATTCTATTCACAATTTTTATTAAAGAATGGGTATTATGTTGATAAACATTGTTTGCCTACAATTTAATAGCTTAATTTTTTTCGGAAAAATGACTTTTACAAGTTATTTTATGACTATTAATGTTGACTGAGACCTACCCACACTTAATGGAAGAAGTATTCCTGGCTGTTAAATCTAAAAGGAAAAACAAATAAATTGACTTGGAGTTTTTAGATGAACGAAAAATCACGCATATACATGTTGGGCGCGGCGGAAGCCAAAACTAAACCGATGTGCTTCGAGGAACCAAAACAAACGCCGAGATAAAGGCCAACCAAATCAAAATAACAGCACAAAACACAAACGACCAATTCAGCAAGTTGCCTACGTCCACGGGGCAAGAAATGGGATGGGTTTTTCACTATAGAGAAGGAGAGTACAAACTGAGATTACAAATCGCTCAAACCAATCAACTAATCTCACCAACAAAGCTCTTAATCTCTCAAACAATAACCCTAATCAATAGCTCAGAAAGATCTCTCTTTTCTGTGCTCCAATATCCCCAAAATAATTCTCAATCAAAGCCAAAAAATCCCTAAAACGTGTGTTTGTATTTATAGCAAACACCAATCCCAAACAGAATAGGAAATCAAACTCAGGCCCAGACTCGGTCAACGGTCGACCGCGCGCCAATCGCGGTCGACCGTGGCCAACGACAGAACCCAAAAAATACTTACAGGGTCTCGCGGTCGAGCGCCGCGCCAGTCGACGCGGTCGACCATGAAAAGTCCAGCGACTTTTCCATGTTTCGTGCATGTTTGCTGTCGACTGCCGCGCCACTCGCGGTCGACGGCCAGGCACCCAAAACTTGTTCTTCGTCTTTTCCTGTGCTCTTCATTGCTGTGTTTGTCATTTTTATAATTCTCCACCTCGGTGAAGTTTCTTCCAAAATTGAGCTGATACCAACCAAAACAAATGTCTCGCTTGTTGCGTTCAGTATGAAGTGGAACAAAACCACGACAATGGACTCAATCCACAACTAAGTCGAGACCCAAATGAGAATGTGATCACTCTCCAAACATCGGTATCAACTCACCAAACCGGCTGCATCATAAATGACTGCCTACGTATCCTCTTGCCTAAGAAATCAAGCCTTGACGTAATTCACCCAATAGCCTCCAAAGGCCCTCAATTCAATAGAAGAGTTCTCAACTCTTCACCAATAAATCTGTGACTGATAGCTCTTCCAATGGCCCCAAAGTGAAACAAACCAAACACCTCTAACTGAGATGAACCAATGGCCATATCCAAATCGAACTATGTCCACCAGCTGCACTTGGATCAACCAACTCATCATCTGCATCCAAATCCAAATAATCCCCAAACTGTGTCACCTCAGCTGAAATCCCAAACGATACAGTATGATCTGGAGTATGTGGAGTAATCTCCACCCTACGTGAAGTAGCAGCACACTTCACCTGCTGTGATATCCCAACGATCTGATCAACACTCTCCACCTGTTGAGAGCCAAATGTGACATTCCTGAACTGATAACCAAACGAGTCTCTGAATCCCAAATGTGTAATCGGATCAAATCTCACATCCTCGATGTGACCAAATGTTGGGCAACCAAACATCTGACGCAACCCAAAATCTGAAGCAGCTCCACCAGATCCTAAATCTCCAAATGCAATAGTAGGTAACCTATGATTAAGATGACCCAAACATGTCGAAGCCTCAACACCAAAATCAATGCTCGACGTCACGCGCCAATCGGCCTCCTCTAGAAAGGAACGACCAATCAAAAATGCCATCTCATCTCGTTGCCCTAATGTTTCCCCTCCAATAAAGTGTCTCAAACTGTCGTGAGCTCAGCACAAATGCAAGAAAGAGCCCCTACTAAAATTAGAACAACGAATTCCCTTTCTGCCAATACACTTTCTTCAACTGTTATTGACTACTGGGACTTTAAACCAACGGGACTTAGTTGTAACCCACAAATGTCTAGTATAATCCCCAATATAGGAAACCAAATATCAATTACCTTCCAATGATGCCTCCTTGAAAGGCCCCCAAATACCTGAATGAACACCACTTAGAAGACCCCTCAATCGATGGATAGAAGTGTCAAACTCCACATCGGTCTCTTTGCTCATACCAATGTGCTCAAAGGGCTTCAATATGCAGGTCAATGCACTTCTCAATAATCCAATGTACCGTATCAACAATCAAATATCCCAGCCTCAAATCCTTCTTTCTCAGCCATAATTCTCAAAGCACCAACAAACCAATATGGAACAAACGAAGAATAGATCCAAACTGATAAAGGAGAGATTTTTACCTCCAATTAAAATCCTAGCAAGAGTCTCCGAAAGATCTCACCCCACACGACGGAAACGAGATCCACAAATATGAAAAATCCCACATTTACCACCAACTGAAGCTCTAAACAAACTTCCAAAGCGATCTACTCCTCCAAATAACCCAAGCGTAGCCGGAGCTCTGATACTACTTGTTGGGCGCGGCGGAAGCCAAAACCAAACCGATGTGCTTCGAGGAACTAAAACAAATGCCGAGATAAAGACCAACCAAATCAAAATAACAGCACAAAACACAAACAACCAATTTTATCGTGGTTCGGCAAGTTGCCTACGTCCACTTGGCAAGAAATGGGATGGGTTTTTCACTATAAAGAAGGAGAGTACAAACCTAGATTACAAATCGCTCAAACCAATCAACTAATCTCACCAACAAAGCTCTCAATCTCTCAAACGATAATCCTAACCAATAGCTCAGAAAGTTCTCTCTTTTCTGTGCTCCAATATCCCCAAAACAATTTTCAATCAAAGCCAAAGAAACCCTAAAACGTGTGTTTGTATTTATAGTAAACACTAATCTCAAACAGAATAGGAAACCAAACTCAGGCCCAGACCCGATCCACCAGGCTGCGGTCGACCGTGGACAATGACAGAACCTAAAAAGCACAGCGGTCTCCCACGGTCGACCGATCGACCGTGGCCAATGACAGAGCCTAAAAAACACAGGGTCTCGCGGTCGACCGTCGCGCTAGTCGACGCGGTCAACCGCGAAAAGTCCAGAGACTTTTCCATGTTTCGTGCATATTTGCGGTCGACCGCCGCGCTGCTCGCGGTCGACCGTCATGCACCCAAAACCTGTTATTCGTCTTTTCTTGCGGTCTTCGTCGTTGTGTTCGCTATTTCTACATTACATTACTTTTCGCGTCGAATAAATTGAAAATAGACAAGCTTTCCATTTATGTCCTTAGAAACTTTAGAAAAGGACTAAAATGTATGAAGGTTGCACCTAAGTGGTTTCTACAGGTTCCTTACGTCTTATATATACTTGTCTCTGTGTTAGGATTGCATGCATGTTCTTTCTTTCAGGTGAATGACTGCAGACCGTAACATGCACAAAGCGTCCTACGGTGCTAAAGTTTCTTGATGCAGGGTTATTTAGGCTGAATATCAGAAAACCCCCTTGACGTTGGACAATTATCGGTATCTGGATTATCACAAAACTCCTCTTTAACTTTTAGATTTTATCAAAAAAAAACCTCATTTATCTTTGATATTTCATCAGAAAACTTTTCTGGTTAAGAGGGGTTATCTAATGACCCCCAAAGTTAAGGGGGTTTTTCTGATATTTTCAAAGTTAAGGGAGGTTTTCTAATAATTGTTCAAAGGTAAAGGGGTTTTACGATATTTGGTCTTTTTATTATTATGCATTTGCGTGATAACTATGTACTGTATTAA